TTCCTGGAGAGAGTGGGTGGGCTTTAAGGTCCCTCCCAGCCCACACCACTACAGGGGAACATTTTTCCATGTCTCAGTGTGGAGGGTAGGCTTATTCAGGTGTTCTCCACAGCTTGGGGCATGGCTCTGCCCAGATCCCTGGTGTCCCTCTCCATCCCTGAACTGTTCTCTCTCTGCGGGGGGTGAAGGTGAGAGGCTGAGAACAGTGTGGAATGGGGAGATCTGGGATTCTTCCTGACGTGCTCCGGAGGACAGAGGCAAACCTGAACATACCTTCCTTTGCTGAGCCACATGCACATCAAAACCAGCCGCTTGCTGAGAGAAGAGCACGCCTTTCCTCTCTGCAGGGGCTGCTGTTCATCTTTAAAGAGCTGAGCCCCGATGTGCCGAGCTGCACCGACACCGCCTCCGCAAACCAGAGTTTGTTCCCACTGATACACGCCTGAGGCTGCCTCGGGCCTTCTACGAAACCTTGTCCCGTGCTGTGATTTGGGCTGTTTCTTCTACAGAACTACAAGTCCTTGAGGTAGATGAAGACATCAGCTCATTTTTCCTGAAAGCTCATTTAAATGGCCGGGCTGGTTCTGCAGTACGCTTCCAGCCAGAGAGACGGTTACACATCCCACATCCTCAGCCTCAATAATGGCTGTGATTTGTCCCGCAGACCTGGAGAGACACTTAATGTGACAGAAGAAGAGGGAGGAGGATCTAGTATGCTAAAACCAGATTTGATGGCTTAAAAAATAGTTGGGACAAGTGCTTTTGACTTTATTTTTTAACCCATTTACCCCCTCGCAGTCCCTCTGTCCTGAGGGAGAGCCTGTGGTAGGAGGGCAATTCCTGGGGAGATGGCAGCGGGCAGCGCTCAGTAACGCAGGTTTTGAAACCGTCAGAGGAGAAATTCCAAAGTCCAGCGAATTCCTGAAATCCTTCGGCAGGTGACAGGCTTTAGGGACAGAGGTTGAACCCTCAGCATTCCCGAGGGTGTGCGAGTGCTGGGGAGCGAGGCAGCTCCCCCACCGGAGATACCCGCGGGTGTCTGGGTATGGCTCGCACGGCTCCTGAAACGTGCAGGTAGGGAGCAAAGGAAAAGGAGGTCTGCGGTTACAAAAACACTCGCTGCGGCCGGCGGGAGCAAAGGGGAAGGAAGGAGATGTGCCTGCGGCGAGGGGCAGGCTGGAGAGCCGTGCCGGCACCCCGGCGAGCGTGGCTCATCCAGGCCAGACACTGGTTTGGGTTGAATACAGATAACGGGGGCAGCTTTGTGCCAGGGATAAAACAGCTGTTGTCTGCAGCGCCTGGGAGCTGCGTGCTCCGTCGAGCCCGGTGCGGGAGGGAGCATGCAGCCACGTAGCGGCACTGCGCGCCCGGCCAGGAGCGAGCGGAGAGGGGATGGAGCGAGCTGCCGCACGTCAGCTCCCGGATCAGCCCTGTTGCTGCCGTCCAGAAGGACAAGGCTGCTTCAGGTCCTGTATCACCTGGAAATAACCTTTTTTCTCCCCCCAATTAAGTACTTAGCAGGGCAAGAACCATTTCAGAAATCACCGGACACAGTGGAAGCAGCAGCGCACGCGGTGATGCTTTGCTCGCTGGGATGCCACTGATGGCAAATGCACTGAGCTTTTGAACGGTGCTTCTGGGGACCCGGGTCAGGGCTCATGCTGGCTGTAAGGTTGGAGGAGAAGGTTGTGCTTACAGGCACAAAACCAGCCCGCTGAGGCTCTTCAGCTCTTATCTTGGGGAGTTAATTCAGGCTTACTTGCTGCTTAACCCTCTGGTTTAATGAAGCATGTGTATCTGGCTGAGGTTTGGCAGCAGCATCCAGCTCCAGCCTGTCCCCTCTACTCCCTGGGATCCTGCCCTCCTCCAGCTCCAGAGACTCGGAACAGGGCAGAAATCTTTTGTCTTCCTCCTGGTTCATGCTCCCCGGCTGCTGGAGGCAACGCATCCGCCAACACGGGCAGCGCATCGCTGTCACCCTGCGCCCAGGCAGGTCCCCGGGCGGTGACAGAGCCTGTCCTACAGACTAGAAGCTCCCAGGTAGAAAACCAGCCCGAGCCTGGCACCAGGCCCTGGGATGACAAAAATAGCTTTAGCTCCCATCAGCCGGAGGCCCCGGGAGCAGGCTGGGGCTCGCAGCACAGCTGTTTTAGCACTGAGCCGAGAACTTAGCCCTTTGCTGGGAAAACGGGGTGGGAAAGAAAAGGGGACCTGGAGGATGGGGTGCCTCTCTGTGTGGTGTCAGGCCAGGCTGCGTGCGCCGTGAGCCATCATCTGGCACCTCCGGACACGGCATTTAGCCGGATGCTAAACAAACAGCCCAATATTTCATGGCGCGGAGACAGCAGGTACCACGCTCAAGGGGACGTGCTGCTGCCCCAGCTGCTGCCTTAGCGCATTTACACGCTGTTTGCTTTTTCCTTCTCGGTAATGACTAATGAGGACTGCCTGGGGGTCTTATCCCCCTTCGCCAACTGATGTCAGGCAGCCAGGTCCCTGCGAGCAGCACGGGCCAGCTGTCGCCTGGTTCGGGAGGGGAGGGGGGCAAACATTGGGCACGTTTCCCCCCCACCCTGCCCCTTGGGTTTTCAGTTGGGACTGGCAGATGTAAGGCAGGGGAGCAGGCTGGTGGGGAGAGCTGCTCCGGGTTATTTGCACATCAAAAGCAGCTTTGCCTCCGACCCTCTCTCACCCTGCGAGCAAGAGGTGGCTCGATTTAATTGCTCTTTCAAAGGCAGCTCTGGTCGTGTCTCTGCTGAGGTTTTAGGTCTGACTCTGTCGTTGTGTGTCCGCCCCCCGCAGCCAGAAACCGGTGCGGTGGCACCGGGTTGTTAAAAGAAGATGCAAATCAGCTTTTCTCCGTCTTGAAGCTGATTTGCATCCGCTGATTAGTTCAACAGCTAATTCAAACTCCTTCTGTTTGAGGACGGGTGGTGCTCGGGCAGCTGGGGCAGAGCCAACCCACAGCACCGACAGAGCAGGGAACCCCCGTGACCGATGCAGGAGCTGGTGCTGCTTCTCCTGTTTTGCCCCCCAGTGCTTGAACCAGCCATGCCCCTTGTGCTCAGATGCTTCCTCAGCCCAGGAGCCACTGCACACACCAATGCTATCCCATTCCTCTTCATCCTGCTGCAGAGGAAGCGTTGGATGTGATGAGGGAATGGCTTTATCCCGGCACTGTCAGGGCTTTCTGCTCCTCCGGGAACGTGCACCTCTTGGGCATGAAACAGAGGACTTGCAGCAGGGGTCAGGCCGCCCTGGCCATGGCTGTCCCCCACTGTTCAGCCTTCCTCATGATGTCACAGCATCCCAACGTGGAGCTGTCAACAGCCCTACACAGGCCAGGCTGTGCCCCATCTACGCACGTGGAGGCCACAGCCGTCTCTCATCAGCTTCGTTAGGGGTTGGTAGAGAAGGGGTGGGACCCTCACCTGGCTTAATGGAAGAAGCAGCTCAGGGTTCGGATTTTGGCTTCTCAGTCTCCTGGGCATTGCCAAGAACTTGTCCTTTGAGGCATGTGCCTTCAGGGATGCTCCTGGACCTGTCCTGCCTCCTGCTACTGCTCAGCCCCGGTAAGCCTCTGCCTTGCTGCACTGCAGCCTCTCCAATTTGGTTGTGACCTCTGTGGGATTGGGTTGTCTCCTGGGATAAAAACAGCCAGCTCAGGGGTCTCCTCCTCCGACCCAGATACATGGACAAGCCCTGGAAGGGCTAACTTGAGCCAGCACCATCCCACAGCTGGGGCAGGCGATGGTTGGAGGTGATTGCTAACAGAAGGTGCTGCTCAGGAGAAAGAGAGCCCTTGCACGTGGTTTTCTACCTCCTTCCTCCTCAGCAGTTTTCAAAGGCTCTAAAAATAAACTTCCCTCATGCCTCGGGCAGCGTGAGCAAAGCCAAGCTTTCCCTGGAAAGCATCAGTGGGTGCTGGGTGCCCTTCTGGGGGGCACAGAGCAGCTTGTGTGTGGTTTGGGGGGCCCTCCCCACACTGTAGTAGGGTGAATGCCCCATACAAACAGCCACATGAATCAGGATGAGTAGTGTTTTCTGCAATTTGAGTGTTTCCCCCTATTTACTGCCCCCCAACCTCCCTCTTTACCTCCCCCCTCGCTGTTGTAACTGCCAAACAGGCTTTGAGTCGACCAGTTTTGGAGGAAAACAGCTTCAATAGTCAAAACACATCCTCATCTTTTGTTTAAGGCTTTTCCACTGTATCTCTCCCTCTGTAATTGTTTTCTCCGGCTCTGTGGGCTGGAGAGATGGACCTGCCCGCTCCAGGGCGGTGGGTCAGGGACTGCTGGGGCTGGGGGTTCAGGCTGCGTGGGGTTGGGATGAAAATCGGTCTCACCTGCAGAGCAGAAGGGTGAAGCCCGTGGGGCCAGGCGGATTATCTCCTCCTCTCCGATACCCCCGTGTTCGCCGGAGGCAAGTTGCCGCTTTTCCACGCATGGGTTATCCCAGCTGCACAGCGGAGATAACGCCGCTCGCCCACGCAGCAAAGCGCTCGCGGGGCTGGAAACAAACAGGGCCAGGTGGAAGGATGTCCCCAAGGGGGACCTTGGTGTGCCACGATAAATGGCTGGTGGCTTGCGGGGGTGACGAGAGGGGCACGGTGAAGCACT